TTTCTCACTGTGCAATACGCATTCGCCCGTATATAAACGTAAAATTATAAATGCATACCTCTCGCTCGGTGAGATTTCGAAATGAATTATATGTATTTTGTTTATAATTTTTTAATTATCACTTGCTGCGACAAATAAATTTCGGTTATGCAAAACGGATGGTTTTTATATTAAGTTTCTCTTATATTCGTGATTAAGTTAGCGTGCCTATCAAAGAAAATAAATATAAATGACGCGTGAAAAAAAATAAAATAGTTTGTGTCAATGTTTGTTTGAAATCCGATTATTTTGTGCATTTTTAGTTTTTAAATAAAAAATAATAGAGTTTTTTGCGCAGATTTTGTTCAGAATTTTTTCGGTATTTTTTTTTTAAGAATCTTCGTGTCTAAAATTTCAGCACTTTTTGGGATTTTTTGGAAGATCGAAATGTTTTCAGAAGTATAGAAATTCTTCCGAACTATAGAAGTCTTTCAGAACTATAGAAAATTTTCGGATAGAAGTTTTTCAGAATTATCGAATTTTTTCGGGGTTAACGAAATTTTTTGGACTGCGAGATTTTTCCCAAATTATCGGACTTTTCGGTATTATAGAACATTTTCAGAATTATGGTGATTTTTCGAAATTATCGAGATTTTTTCGGGATTTTCGAGTTTTTAAAATTTAAATTTTTTTTCAGTATCGACATTTTTTCCGAATCATCAGAATTTTTTTCCGAGTAATGGGTGTTTTTCCCCTGAATTATCGTTTTTTTTTTGTTTTTTCCCCGTGTTTTTTGCCTGATATTTGAGAACGTTTCAGGAATCTGCGTAATTAACTTTTCGGTGTTGCTCTGAAAACTTAGTTCATTGTTTTAGCCTTAAAAAATTAAAAACTAGAACTTCTAGGTACTTCTAGCACAAAATACAAAGGGTAAAAAGTTAAATAAAATGTTTACTTCTATTTTAGAATGCATATGGGATATTTGGTAAATTGTGCTCTGCGTTGTTTTTTTTTTGCTTGGCATATAATTGACTTTTACTAGCATGAAATAGCTTTTAGGGTTTGGAAAAAAATCGTTATTTTTAATAATTTTAAAGCTTATTGAAATATGAAGATTGTAACTGAAAAATTAATGAAATATGATTTTTGCAGAACGAATGTGTTTTATGGTCTATAATTTTTTTCATAATTTTACATTACAATAATTTTACATTTACTAATTATAAAAAACTTCTACAAATACTAACATACACACGTTTTACCACCCCACCATAAATCATTCATTCTATTGCTGCTCCAATAAAAATTTTACTTCTAATAATATGTAGCTTTTACACTATACTATATTTGAAGCTGTAATTGAAAGCAAATCATTGATAGCTAATATTTAATTAACCATAATAACGAATAAGATAAAATAAAGCTATAAGGAAAAACAGAACCAACCATAAACATACAATTACAAATACATACTAACTTCATAAATATTAACTACTAAAAATTCGTTGTAGTTTCTCGTTAAATTAAGTTGTCAAATCCGGCAGCGTAATATAAATCTGCATATTTTTGAGCGTAGTATGAAATGTAGAATTTTTTAAATAGCCGTTGTATGAGTAAAATAGAATTTGCGAGGTGGCGTGCCAACAAGAAAATTTTGCAAAAGTTTTCCACAAAAAAATAATAAAACATAAGCTAAGCAATAACTGAAATATTTCAAAATATTTAAATAGTTGAGTAAGGATTACTAAAAACAAAAAAAATAAATATAAGGAAAGAAAACAAGAACACCAATTTTTGGTGTTAACATATATATATATATGTATGAAGAAATACAAGAAGAAGAAGAAGAAGCAGATAGTAATGTTGCTGTAGAGCACAAATCTATTTGGAAAATTATTTTTCATGGTTCGTAAACACTTCTAATCCTTTAAATTACTTTCTAACCTTGCATGAGTGAAAACAAATTGTATAACGAATCAACTAAAACAACAACTAAGTACTTTTTTTGTAAGCCAACTATGCAGCAACACAAAAAGAAAAATATGTCTTTTAAATTCGCTTCAAACTCAAGCTATATAAAATGTAATATAATTACGTAAAAAATATATGTATGTAGATTTCAAAATATACAAGTAGCTATCCGTACCCATAAAAATATGTAGCAAAAAATAAAATCCGAAAAATTTGCTGAATTCATAGATACAAGCGAAATAATGATAATGCAATGTAATTTAGTGAAAAATAGTTTATTTTTGTAAGCAGAAAGAAAAGCGAAAAACACACAGAAAACCAGCAGCGAAGAACGGGTTAACGCCAGCCACTGACAGAATATCGGCAGTTTATTTAACCGAAAAAGTCGGTGTCGTGCAGCTGACGGTTTAGCCTGCTCTCCAAAATTGTAATAAAAAAATAATAGGTTCCTAAATGTAAGCACTGCAAACATATATGTAGATACATACACACATACTTTACACATACACCCAAGTACATACATACACACATTGACATATTTATAGAGCATAAAATAAGTAGTTAAAATGAAAAGCGTAATTTAAGCTTAGCAATATATATGCGTTTTGAGCGATATAGATATACATACCCAAACACATACAAAAAAGTATACAACAGCATGAAAATACATATTTACGTTTGTAATGATTTAGTAAGAGAAAATTAATGCTCCTCCTTTGGCGTCAATGCCACTTAAATTTTTGATTTCTTTTCCTTGATTTACATCTAACAAACACATACACTTCTGCTGTGTTTGGTATAACGGTGATAACTCCAGAAAAATGTTGCTTTCGGAAACTTTAGGTTGCTTGCATTTTCGATGGATGCAAATTGCGTCTGAATCTATTCTTGGTACAGCTTTGAAAATGTTAGGAAATGTCAAAATAAAAGCAATTTGCAATAGCCTCTATGCAGAAATTGATTTATGGGCCTGTTACGTATAGCAATGCAACTTTGTTGGCTTGCTGATGGATAACGCCACTGAAACGAAAATGTATATTGTGAATAGCAACTTTAGATATGTAGGCGCTAAGAAAGTTGAAGGTAATAGAATTTTGAGGCACCAGGAATGAGGACTTCAGTGTACACAAGCTACAAGCTGGAGAAACAGTTGGAAATATAAATGCATTTTCTCAATAAAAATTTCACCGGCAGCCATAAAAATGCAGTTGACAATATAGCAACTCTGTTACCAGCTTTCAGTTGCCCGCTGTCATCGAAATACATAACTTACACTGGCGATCAAAACCGATTGCATGCACGACATTTTATTACTTACAGTAGCATAGCTTTTTTGATAATAAGCGGATGCTTTGAAATTTTCCGGACTTTGTAGGACAAAAGTGAAAGGATTCGTTTGCCAGCAGGACGAGGATTCAAAGAATTTCGAACGTATTCTCGGACGTATGAAAATCGCAATTAAAGATAAGGGAGTCTCCACAATCCTGTTGGTATCAACCTTCAAAAATCGCCAAACAGAAAAGTTCAAAACTAAGTGAATAGAGCTGCTCCACGTTTTTGCTGTGAACCGCTTGTTTCTTGTTAAAGCTTGGCTTTTCTGTATACTAGGCTTTATTCCTAGGATAATAAAGACCAATTGCTGAAAATTTCAAAGCAATCCGCTTATGCTACTGTAAGTAATAAAATGTAGTACATGCGCTCAGTTTTGATCCCCAGTGCAAACTGAACAAAAAAGCTAACAATTAAAGAAACATTCACCCTCATTGCGAGAGTCGTGTCGAATGCAAGTCGTTTTTCGAGAGTCGAATCGTATCGAAAATTTCACGTCATTGTCTAAAATTTCCACTCGACTAGTGTATTAAAACGGAAGAACTTGGCAGCACTGTATAGTTTTCGAAGATTTTCGTCGTTTACATATTTCAGCACGACAGTAGACAATGCCAATGTTGTCGAGTCGTACAATTTATCCCAATTTACGATTTACGCAATGAGGCTGATTTTTGCTAATCAATGTTGGGAGCACTTTTTGATTTCGTTTAGGCTAGCTGGTTGTCTGGCATTTTATCTGTTAAATTTTCAATAGAAATTTTTTTTTTTTTTGAATTATTGATAAAAAAAGTTACACACTCATGCAGATAGATAGATCCCAGCCGGTAAAGTGAGCAGCGTTTCTTAAAAACACAGCCAAGGCCTTTGCTACAAGACATTTGCAAGCTGTATTTGAAGAATTTCCAATAGATCTGCGTCTCCGAGGCATACGAGGTGTGTCTCTAAAGCAACCGAAGTTAAATAAAAGAAGAAATGTAGTAAGCGTGTCGCTGTTTGTCTGCAGCAAAGTAAAATCTGCGTTGCTACCTTTTTCATGTAATTTTTCCGATTCTAACAGAAGCTGAATCAGAAGGCCAGATAGTAATTTCGTAATTAAAAAAAAAAAAACGACTTCAATGCTCATATAATATTAGGATTACCGTTAGTTTCTTCATGATCCAATGACCCCGAACTATTAGAGATGGGTGCGGGACTAAGTATTCAACACCGATCCTGTTTTTCAGAATTATACCGTGTAAAATTCACATTGCTTTCGAGTTATTTTAAATAAAAGTTATACTTAATTTTTTTTTCTCGAATATTCTACTTTCTTCACACTGAAAAATCTGGCATCAGCCAACTATTCCATGTTCCTTTGTTGTTAGTTTCCATCGCAATAAAACATAAAAAGTGGTTGCCGTGCGAGGCCACCTTTCTGTTAAGAAAAGAATTATCGAAAGCGGTTCACGTGGTTCACAGTTATCAGGTAGCATACATAAAAAAAGAACAAAAAAATATTCGGACGAATTGCAAACCGCCTTTTTTTGAAGTCGATTAAAAATAGATTTTAATTTCCGAAAATCGTTATTTGATATTTCTTCATTATAGATTATTATTATTTTNTTTCAGAAAATAACAAAAGTATTGTTCGGGTGCTCCCACTCCCAATGCATTGAAAAAGTACTTGCATTGCCACGTCTGACTGCACTTTCATATACAAGTACCCAAGTATACATATTTTTGATTATATCGCGTTAGGTTTTAATTTGTAACTCAATAGCATCTAAGGCTGTGTGCATAAATGAATTTTCGAGCAAATTTTTTCACTGGATGGTCTCCTAAACTGGAAATAGTATGAAAACCCGCGCAAGGTCTCGAAAATTTGTGCTATTTTGTTGTTTTTTTTTACCCGTTCTGTTTTCGTTTGATATCAGGTTTTACTATTCAAAAATAGAACCCAAAATTATTGCGACTTGGTTTACAATTATAGACTGTTTAAATTGATGATTTCTTTTTGTTATTAAAACACTTGATGAAAAAGTCTTGTATCATTCGGAAAAGAGCAGAAAACTAAACTTAGAGCATTATATAAGATAAAATTGACTTGCTTTTTATTGCTTCGAAAATTCATATGTAAAACGTATGTAACTAAATTTCGTTGTTAGAAAAAAAATAAAGATATCAATTATATGTATGGAGATATTAAAATTTTATAACCTTTGTTATGTAATTAAAAAAATCTTATTTAGTAATTAAAAATATCTTATCTTACATACATATCGCACACCTAGATCTAAAGTGAGCTAACTCAAAAATCCGCGCGGGGGAAATATAACTGCTTGTGGATCGTACAGATTCAACGCAATTAATACAAAAACAAAATGAGGTAAAACAGTAGGGTTTTAGTTGGATGTAAATTGGATGTAAATCCTATGAATTGGTTTATGCAGAAAAACCGTCCTATTTTTTTTTTTGTTTTTTTTAGTTGATCGCACTTTAGATCTACATAGGTGTGCGATATGTACGCATAATATGTAGTGACATTA